AACTCTAGAATATAGGAGCACTACCAAGACCTAATCCACATAGCCGTGCGTGCACCTATTCTGATACCTACATAGAAGAATTCTGATGCGCAATTTAAAATATGCAATGTAGAAGTAAAAAAATACTAACTAATCACCGCATTGTAAATAAAAAAATGAATTCAAAACTTGATTAAATAAAGTATTTTTGTAAAGAATACACTAAACCCTATGAAGGAACTGATCTAAACAAGTACATGAGCTTATAAGAGAGTAAAATACTATGAACGAGATACAACACATCTCCAACCACCAGAACATCACATCTTTCAAATAACTCATACAACCAAGGATCTCTAAGACATCATCTACAATGTTTAACTTTTAATTTAGATCTAAATAGGAGTTATCCCAACATTTAAGCACAAATCTCATGAAAATAGCCTGTACCTTTATCAATTAAGTAATCCTCCTACAAGACTTTTACTAGACCACATTAATTCAATACTTCTTATCAGATATGTCCCAATCCACAAAGGCTGACAATACAGTACAGTCTTTGTTGATAAGCTGAAGCCATAGTCACCTCACAAACTCAACATTAACAAATAACATGATCAAAGATGCTACAACAAGAAATAGTTGATTCATCACGTCTTTCAAGTAACCTATACCATCAAGAATATCTAAGACATCATCTATAGTGTTTAGAATGTAATTTTGGTTTAAAAAGGAACCATCCCACTATTTAAACCCAAATCACGTTCACTCATGGACAAACATGTAACAATATCATTACGAAGTATTATACCTACTTCTCTCATGAAACCACACATACAAAAGGTTGATTAAAATTGTACAAGGCGTGCTACCCAAGATAACCATTAGTTATTTTGACCAGCATGGTACTCGAGCCAACTGTTACTACATACCACGCTCAGTACCCGAGCATACCATATGAATATATTTTACCAAGAGTGGTACTCGAGACAACCATTAATCTCGCAAACAAAACCACAATAACAATGAAACACAAACACAATTGTAAAACTTGAGTAAACAAAGTACCTTCATCGCATGAGATAGTCAATAATTCATCACTTCACATTAAGCCTCTACAATTCCCCTAACATGAAATTATACAAGTTTCACTATATAGATAGTTAGAATGCAAACATAAAAAAACATGCAAAACAATAACAATCATTTAAATTCACAAGCTCTTTCATGACAGTTTTCCACTTGGAACCCAATTACACACCTCTTATTTTTCCTCAACATCCCGCCCAAAATAATCACAAGGTTGACATGAATTAATCAAACTCATTATCATCTTAAACCATAACTTACTCGTTATTAAGTCATTCAAACTCCATGTTCAAATTCCTGTACATGTAATCTCAAACAATTTACAAGGTATAAAGTAAGAGAAGATAGATCTAACAACTCAGCAAAAACCTAGCCTATATAATCGCCAAGAAATAGTAGAAGAACTCTGAACATGAGTTTCTAGCTCCGTGGGGGAGAATTCTCAAGTTTGTAGATAAAAAAATATTTGGGTATGACCCACCTTACACTAGCATCCTCTCTCTCCACTATTCTCAAGCTTTGAAAAGTTTTTGGGAGGATCTTTGGAGTAACCATCGGTTGTTTTACCACTAGAGAGACAGAGAACAATTAAAAAAAATACATTTTTGAGTTTCTTCCTCGCGGACCCATCCATAGAGGCTATCACGCCGCCACACTGAGAAAGTTGTTTCTATGGAAAGATAACATCAGTCGAAGTCTAATTTTCTAATTTTTAGTTTTTTTTTCTTTCATCCCAATTTTAAATTGAGATATCATTTTAAAGAAATATTAGGACACCACATGAGATGTCCTTCGAATAACGATGGATCGGGTTGTTATAAGCACACTCCCAATATATTGTTTTTGGGGTTAGGGAAAAGTTTCTTATATAAATCTATAAATTGGCAAATTCATCTATGAGAAACATGATTTCTAATATAAAAGGAAATATATAAATCTCTAACAAAGGCATGAAAATAGAAATATAAATAAATACTAGGAGATGCAGTTTCATAGATCATGAATAAGTGAGTTTAATTTATTTACCAGCCTCCACGTGTGAGGATGTTGTGTGCTTCACGTTTTCCCCAAAAGTTGTTGTTTGTCATCGATTTAGATATAACACTCTCACGATTTGGGCTTCACGCAATGCTATCATTTTGGAAAATTGAAGTTTTTTCCAACCATAGAGTAATTGATCCTCCATAGATGATACTCTGAAGGTCAATTGGATTGATCGAATTTCAATTATTTATTCAATTCTCTAATGACGTGATGCAACTATTTGATGGAATTACCTTGAAGGACTAGGGTTTCTCCGCTGCAAAAAATATATAAACGAAGAATTGAATAAAGTTGAGAAATAAGAAAGATGATTTCTTCTTTGTGCACTCTAACGTGAATGACATAATCATCAAACTTGTATTTGATGTTGTGTTATGGTGTAACTGATACTCCATTGAAAGTTGTGAGCAGAAAGAGTTGTTTGTGTTTGAGATCTAATATGTTTAAGGAAATGATATATATGTTGTAAAGTCTCCAACTAGGGAGTCAACAACTTTATTTTGTAAAACTAGTGAAATTTGTTGACATCCCTCCCCCCACCCATCCCAGAGTGTCCTATTAAGTCTCCCCTACTATCCCTTCCTCCCTCTACATCTATGCATGCAAAATCAAGAGAGAAAAAATGCTTCCCATCATGATTCGTGTAGAAAAATACAATAAATATATTCTAATGTAAAAAGTAAGAACACTGCAACAAACATGATATTTAGCTACGAAATTACTAGGTACGGCACATAATTCTTCACTAATTATTCGTTTTTTGTGACGAAAATTACATTTCGTACTAAAATCGATGAACCACACACTTGTAATGATGAAACATAAAATTTTTGTAGCAAAATTTCGTCTAGATGAGTTTCGTACCAAAATATAATTTGGCGTCATTTATTAAGTATTAGTATCGACAAATTTTAATTTAATAATGACAAATTGTTTTGTCCCTAATAATTTATCCAATTTGTGAGAAATTATTATTTGTCTTAAAATTAGTTGCAATTTTGGATACAAAAAGGCTTTGTCACAATTTTTTTTTGGTGAAATAGAGACACATTAGAGTACGTCATTGAATATTGTATGTTGTCGACACAAAATTTTATATTTAATTGTGACCTTAGCTTTTGTCACTACTATAAGCAATCAGTGATGATAATTTAATTGCCTCTAATCAATGTGTGATGTAGTGACAACATAGTTTTGTCATTGACTATGAAATGTTTAGATAAGGACTAGTAAAAATTTGTAGCTAAATAATATAACTATTTGTGACGAAAAAAAATTTCATAGCTAAATATAATAATCTTTGACTATGTTTGTTTATGATTACATGTGAAAAATGAAGTATAATAATTTCATAGTTACATATAAAAATTTCTCCCTATTATATACTCAATTTATATAACATCGACTTAATGTCTTTGAAAAATGTATTGAGTAAATATGTTTAAGATTCTATTAATTAAAAGTGGTAAAATGATAAACTTATCATATCAATCATTGTTTTTCTTCATAGGCGTGTTAAGTCAAAAATTGACTAATATAAAGGAACGGGGAGTATTTTCTAATAACTCTCACCAAATTAGGAGTTATTTCAGAGTTTTGGGCTCACACCAATTTTTTTAGTTAAAACTATTTATTTTTTTACAATATTACTACTATTTTTATGTATTTGTTTTACCCTTAATGGATCATTTACTTCATACAATTACATCTAAAGATCTTATCTTTGAAAAAGATTTACTAAAACACAAATATAAATAACTTATTTTAGATTAAAAATTTCAAATTAATTTAATCAACACCACTTCAAATTTACAATGTTATAATATTTATATATAACTTGTTTATATATATATTTTTAAAAAATCTAGAATTATATAATTAAACTACTTAAAATTAAAGAATAACTTCATGAACAAATATTGGGTCTATGCAAAGCATGATGTTTTGCCACTAGTAGTATATAAGAATCTATGAGCACACATGTTATGTTCGGTATGTGTACTTTGTGGAATTTCAATTAAATTTGAAGGCCATTTTTTTTCATTTGACTATGAAAGTATTAAATTGAATTTCTAATATTTTATATATTTCAAAACTACGTAAAATCTATTATAAATCAAAATAATTTTAAAAGTTAAATAAAAAATTTATGTTATTCCCTTTGTCCAATTTATGTGACATTGATAAAAAATTATAATTAATTTAATCTTATATATGTCTTTTAATTTTTAATTACTGTGATTGTTGCCACACAATTTTGACCGTTGCCACTCAATTTTGATCGATCTGTAACCCTTTTCGAATTGCTATTTAATTATATTTTAATTCTATACTTTAACATTCATAATTTATAAAATTATTATTATTATTATTATTATTATTATTGTTATTATTATTATTATTATTTGTTGATATCCAGTCATAAGCACTCGTTCAAATGTGACCAATTGTTGAGATCGAAATCCTCTGCCTTCCCTTTTTAATACACAAAAAATTCTAAATCTTTCATTGTTCATTTACCCAAGAGGCGGATCCACCTCTCCTCTCTATCTCCTCCTTCTTTCTTCTCCCACTACAAAAAAACAATGAGTACCGATCTAATAATTATTGTTGGCATCTAGTTTTGATCGACCTATCACCATTTGACTGTGCTATGCGATTAAACAAGTATTTTAAAACTTATTTCAAGTTTAACATGTTAATCAAATCTGTCAAAAAAAGTATATATTTTACTATGCATAATATATAAAAAGATATTGTATTAAATTATTTTAGAATTTAGGCGTGTTTAATTATGTGAAAATATTTTAACAAGTGTAGTATTTTATTAATTGGATAACACTTCCTTAATTTTTCTTTTGAATCTTTAAAAATTCAACCTATTATGTTCTAATTTCTTTCAATTTTAATCACTCCAATTCAAATATTGATTTCAATTATAACCAATATCTATTCAAACTCTAGCCTATCTAATTCAATTCAAAATCATCAAGTCTCTTAATACTAACTGTTGATCTCGTTATATTTAATCCTAAACGGTCATCTAAAAATATTTCTACGGTTTAGGTTAATTTCTAATTTCTTTCCTATTTGTGGCTTAAAAGACCTTAACCCTTAAAAAAAATGTGCCTCCTCAATTTCACTTCCTCTCCAGCCAGCAGTGAGGAGGATGAAGCCTGCTGCTTCAGCTGCTCCGAGCAGCGACCTGCAGACTGACGAACCCCGCCCCCTCCAAACGGAGAAACCCCTTTGCCTCTCTCTTCTCTCTTGCCGGTAAGAACGACAGTAAGAGCAGTGCTGCTCCTCCTCTTTCACCTCTTGTTTCCGGCAACAACTCCAGCAGCAGCGATTGGAGGCTGGTCCAATAGACGAGCCGCCTCTCCCCTCTTCTCCGACCAGAATCATCAACTAGCAGGTCTAGCCGGCGAGCAACGACAACCAACAGCGATAGCAGACTGCCACAGGCGAACTCCGGCAAGCCAGCTGATTGGTAACCTTGGAACTCCGAAAATGATGGTAACCTTTGAATTGTTTATTTCTTTGCTTAATGGGTCTTGCTTCAAATATCGATCTAATCCTTGTTTCACTTCCTTTATTTATGCTAATTTATTTCATGTTGATTGGTACTCCTAATTGATGCATGCATGTTTGCTATGATAAATTTGCTAAGGAAATTAGTCTATGAATATGTGATGTAGGTACGTGATTGCATATGGCAATTGTCTTGCGCATAATTGTATTTCTTAGTTGTTTGTAATAGTTGAGTTACAGCTTATTTACAGATTATAAATTTGCTAAGGAAAAAATTCCCTTCACTCACTAATAGACTTATAATTTTATATTGACTTGTTATTGCCATCAATTGAATTAGTGGAGTATGATACAAGTTTTGTTTACCACGTCATATATATGTCTCATACATAATAAATTTTTTTGAGGTAGTTTGATTCGAGACAAATTTTAAGAAAGAAACGAAGATTTTTAAAACTTGTGTTCCAAACAAATGATAGAAATATGTATGACTTTAACTAATTTAATTAAAAGTTAAATAAACATTTTATAGTTAACTTATTACTTAATATAGAAATGTGTCATTCTTTTTAGGATTAACTAATAAGAAAAGTAAGTCAGATAAATTGGACAGAGGGAGTAAAAAATTGATGGAGATTTCATTGTCATCCTAGTGTATGCAGTTTAAGCTTAAAGAATATTCTTGAAGATTGTTTTAAACTCAACACATAGGCACTACGAACAATAAGTTGATCTAGTCATGAACAGTCTATGCAAAACTCAACATATTTATTCTGTTGATTAGCTAGAGTAAAAGTTCATTTCAATCTTTAATTTGAAGACAAAGACACCGTCCATATAACTTAGAATAATGGTAATCATTAGTTTCCAATGGTTATTGAGACATTTTTTAGAAGGATAAATTTTAGTATTTTGCATTTCTTTTTTGGGTTTAGAAATTTATTACAACCAAACAAAATGATTCCGGATAGATTCTTGAAAAAGAAGAGGTAGTATCACTCAAAATTACTTTTGATATGTATAGTCGCAGAAAAAGACTAGTGGGTTTATTATTCTATGATTTTAAAGAAAGAAGTTTTAATGAGTAATTTTAATTCTCAAATCAAGAGGGTAGTTGGACCGACTTTAAACTCCTTGACTCATAGGGTCCAAGTGAAATTGTGGGTATGACCGACACAACTCAAGGACCTCCATTTACGATATATGTCAATACATAATTATGAAAGAAATATACTTGTAAAAAGGGTTAGCAACTCAATACTTAAGAACATTCAACTCAAAGATACTACTCCTCTTAAAGATACTCAGTTTATGGAGTTCATGCGGAACTGTGGACATGTGCAACTCGACTAAAGGGTATTAATGAAAATAAAGAACTCATGGGTACAACTCTTCTCCATCCCATACTTACTTCCTCAAACTTAGCTCAAATCGATAGTTGATCTCAAAGGAGTCAAAATTTATCTCAAGGACTTTCTTGAACTCTACTCTTGACTCTTTCTTGAATTTGAATTATGAATTCCAGAGTAATAACTTTGATTGGCATGATCTTTCAAGGATAAAATGAATACTTTCAATTGTGAATATCAAGTAGAAAACATAGGTACGATTCGAGGGGACTCTTGCGGAAAAAAGTGAAGAGGGGTAGGGACCTAGAAACTCTAGCGCACTAAGTGGTATAGGGGGCTAGACCCCTATCCTACAAATCAATGGTTAGGGCGCAGTGAGTTGTAGGATGCCCCCATCTCCTATCCAGAAAACCGATGAACTTTCTTAGTCAAATTCATTCCCTAACTCATCTAGAATCGAACGATTTTCTTCAAACTCTTTTGGATCATTAAACCAAACTTAATTACAGCAATTGCTACACCAAAACCCACCAAGAACAACACACATTCACAATTCTCACCTCAAGAACTCGACAAGAATTTCATTAGTGAAAAGTGAAGCACAAAACCTGAAGAACTCAATAAGATTATCAATATACTCAATCTCCTGGATGAAATTCCTAAAAGAAACTAATGGTTGGCTTGTTAGAAATAAGCCCAATACTATCAAAGCTTACATACCTCAAAGTACTAGGTTCATTGTGAAATGCTGAATTTATTAAAGCTACTTGGGAAACTTAGAAAACATAGAAGGAAGTGCGAGACAAGTATCCCTAATTATTTGTCGATTCAGTTACTACTCATTTCCTTCCTTGATTTATTTTTCCTATGTCACTCGGGGAAGAGTGATTGGTAAATTGGTATCTATTTGTGCATTAGTTTGAGGTTGTGACCCTTCTTGTTTAGACTTATGGGTCTTGTTAGAGTTTTGGTGTATTGACTTTCTGGTTCTAGGCATATTTTTCCCATTAGTTGAGTTCTTAGTTCTTTTGGAAGTTTATGGAACTTAAAATTTTAGCTATGTAACTTGCTTCTGTAACTTAAATGCTTTAATATTTGATTAGAGTTAGTTAACTAATTGGTATTAATGGTTCTCCCACTGGAGGGTTAGTGTAGGTGTCAATTACAATGGTCTGGATCATGACAAAGTTGGAATCAGAGCCTATGTTTGTTGATCTTGATGTATCAAAATGAGTCAAGTATAGTTTTGAGGAATTGTACAGAGACGTCTATACTTTTCTTCGAGAGTCTATAGGACTTTAGGGAATCACTTTGTTTTCTCTTGTATTCTTTGTGCTATAAGTTGATTCCAATTGGTATATGTCGATTCCAATTGGTATTTAACCTCCTTTTACTATTCTGTAAGTAGATGGTTAAAACTAGATTTGATGACGTCACGCCCATGGCTCTGATCAATGCTCTAGCTGAGAAATCTGCAGCGAGAGGTTGCAATCGAGGCATTGGTAGAGGAAGATCTAGGGTTAGAGGCAGAGGAAAATTGACACCTACTAGACACATGGTATTGGTAAAAAGTGCTCTCCAAAATAAGGAGTCTCCCATACATCATAACGAGTAGAGGAGAATGGAGAGGATGAAAATGTTGACGAGGTTGGACAAGAGTAAGAGGTGCAGGCTAAGAATACAGGGATTGCTCCCAAAGACCCAGCGTTAGGTCAACATATTATGTCATTCTTGAAAGGGTTGGTTGGTCCAAGAGTGTTTCCTTCTACTCAAGCCACTCAATCTACAAACAATCCTTTTATTGCTATCATTGTCCCCAAGATGGGAGGGAATATATGAAATGATGTTTTCTTGAATCCTTTGTTGGGTGTCCTGTTATGTCTGGTAATGAGAATGAAATGTTGACTAAGTTTTTGAAGCTAAATCCTCCTGTATTTTTTTGTTCTGACTAGGGGTGTCAAAAGTGAACCCAAACATAGATAACCCGCCCAACTCGCCCATAATTTTAAGGATTGGACTCAAGATAATTTGAATTGGGTTCAATCTCAAGCCATTCAAGCATAACCCATTTGAAGAGAACTCAATTGAGCACAACTCAATCTCCAATTTCAACCCGTTTTAACTCTTTTTATTAAGATATGTTTCGATATTTAAGGTATAAATTATTATCTATTTAGCATTTTTTAGGGTTTATCTATCCATTTGTTCAAAAAAATAATTTCGAGCTAAAATTCAAATTGTGATTATAAAAGTTAAATATCAATATGTTAAATTAGTGAGATTAATCGTGTCAAATTGGGTGATTCAAGATCCAACTCGACTTCTATCTCAATCCATTTTAATATTTTCAATTTTAGCATAACCCGCTCATTTGACACCCTTAGATCTGACAATGAGGATGCCTATGAGAAAAATTTAGATTTCTATAAGATGCTTCATAAGTTGGGAATTTTCCATTATTATCGGATTGAGTTCGTGACATTTCAACTTCAACGTTAGGCTAAAAAGTGGTGGTGAGCGTATATGGAATGCAAATCTTCAGTTTTGCCTCCACTTAATTGAACCCATTTTCATGCCATGTTCTTAGAGAAATATGTTCCTAGGACTTTGAGAGATCGCATAAAGGATGAGTTCATGTCTTTGGAGCAAGGTGGTATGTTTGTGGCTTCTTATGAGGCCAAGTATCATGCCTTTTCTATATATGCTACACAATTAATGACTACCGAGGAAGAGAGGATCTGTTTATTTAGTAAGGGACTAATTTTGAGCTATAGGTATTATTTATTCATATGACCTCTGCACGGAGGAGCTTTAATGCAGTAACCGACTTTATCTATTCATACGATCTCTGCACGAGACTAAATTTTGAATTGTACGTATACCTGTAGGACTATATTTCCTTTAAAAACTCAACATAATATTCTTTTTTAAAAAAGGAACCATTAAACAAATGACTATCGAGAAATATCTCATTTTCTAATCGTGGTTTAGAACTCAACCATCTCTCTAGGCTGAGTTTGTGAAGTCTAAGTTCTACTTCAATGTTCACCGTGCATCTAAATCATAGATTTTTTGTAATTCGCAAGCTTTAGAATTTTTTAGTTAAAGCTACAGATGATGCAGAGCACAACATTCCATGGAAGATAAATTTTGGTTGTTGTAATATGTGGTGGTGTAATTTGTGTGAGAAACTCTCCCTTGCAAAATATCTTAATTGTATTAACAGTGCTAAGCATTCTACCAAGATATGGATATGCTTATATTGTGCTATATGAATATTGACTGTAGATAGTTTTAACTCTAAAATATGTGCTTCATAAAGCAAAGAGTAGTTACACATAAATCCTTGTACAACTACAATGACAACACAAATACACATGAAAGCTGATAAATGACTTGAATTTTCTTATTCAGGAGCTTTGCAACTTCAATTGCAACACATATTAATGGTAATGTTAGTCGTCTGATGAAGACGCTTACCAATTTTCTCAAAATGACCCCAAAGGATGACATAGATAAATTGGAGGAATATCTCCGATAAATCGCGTTTTATAGGTTTCTAAGAGGGGTTGCGGATGTTGATGATGCTTTGTATATATTTTTCCAGAGTAGTTTAATTGCAAGATGGAGCGGTAT